ATACTAAAAAAACTCACCATTATGAAATCTGCATGTAGTCCACATATGAATTCTCAAAACACTTCACAAAACACCGACACAACACAAAATAACGCGATGTTATCACTATTATCACTTTTTTACACAGCTGTAGAATTAAAACAGTTCTTTTTTCACAGCTATGCCACAAAATTGCTCAATTGTCCTTGTTTTAATGAGGTACTTTGTATGTTATCATTCTCATTTTCGCATCTGATATCACAATGACTTCTTTGTGTTATTATTTCACATAATTTCATCTCCCATGAAATGTCGAATTTCAAGCAATGACATCAGCTTTGTCTAATAGATGAGCATTACTTAAGAGAAAATCAGATAGCTACAAGCCGAAGAAATGAAAAAATGTCACTGTTATGTGTTACAGTCGTAGAAAAAGTATAGTGTATAACTCGCACGGAATGCTTATTTCCGTGCTCGTTAAACAATACAGGTCTCGATACAGGTTTTTCACGATGAACGTTAATTATAAGTTTCTGGCAAACCAAGTAACAGATGCATCTAAAAGTTTGATGGTATATTCTAAAAGATGCGGCGTTGTCGCTCCTATGAGAAATTAACAGCAACTTTGATTCTTCAAATAGAACACCCTGTATTCCATTGCATTTATAGATTCTCTCTGAAGAGCTGATGTCATCAATGTATCACACTTATTAGGGGTCTAGTGGGGATGATTACAGAAATATAGGGTCGTCAAAATCGAGATTTTTCAACTTCAGGATTTGTTTGTGTCGAAGCTCATCATTCGTCGAAGCGGCCACCTTTACTTTTGATTCACTATTTACTGACATTCAATTGGAACAGATACAGGGTGATCAGAATTCTGAATCATGAACCACCATGTATTTGTTCTAATTAAATGACAGTAGATAGTAAATCAAAAGTTAAGATAGGGGCATTGAGGCCGTTGAAGTTGAAGAAACTCGATTTAGAACACCCTTTATCTCAGTAAACGTTCCCGCTAGACCACAAGTTCAGTGTGATACATTGATGAAATCAGCACTACAGGGAGAATTAAAAAATGCGATGAAATATAGGGTGTTTCATTTGAAAAATCATAGTTGCTGTTACTTTCTAGTAGAAGCGGCAACGCCGCATTGAAAAAAATATTTTAGACGTGTAGATTATGTGAATTTATACACACGATAAGATTTTTAGCTTCATCAGTTGCTTGGTTTCTCAGTACCCAGTAAACACAACACGTTTCAGAAACATTTCAAAAGTTCCCTAATACGTGTCATCTGAAACATTCCAATGTTAACATAAAGGAAACATTTCTGGAGTTCTCCATGCTATGTGAAATATTTCAGAAATATTTCAGAAATATTTCAGAAATATGTCAATACATACGTCTCATATTCGTTACAAAAACTCTTTGCTTGGAATGTCTCACGTGAATCTCTAGATGTGTCATCTGAAACATTCCAATGTTAACAGGAAGAAAACATTTCTGAAGCTCTCCATGCTATGTGAAATATTTCAGAAATATGTGAATAGATACGTTTCACATTCGTTACAAAAAATCTCTGCTTGAAATGTCTCACGTGAATCTCTAGACGCGTCATTTTGAAACATTTCAATGTTAACATAAAGGAAAAATTTCTGAGGCTCTCCATGCTATGTGAAATATTTTAGAAATATGTCACTACATACATTTCATATTCGTTACAAAAATTCTCTGCTTGAAATGTCTCACGTGAATCTCTAGACGTGTCATCTGAAACATCGCCATGTTTACGTATGTGAAATATTTCTCAGTTGTTATGCGTGACGTGAAACATCTCTGGAATGTTTAAATACATATGTTTACTATTTGTTCGAAATGCATCATATTCTACGTTGCCAGGTTCATGATTCCGTTTTATTGGCTATAATGAATCACATGCTTGAGTGTGACCAATGAAGACGGGTGGTTACTCTGGCAACATCGGCATAATATGACAGTCCGAACCAAGCACGGCCGGCTCCGACTTGCTCCGACTGTCCAGTCCGAGAAGAGAGTGGGTGAACACAAAGATGAAGCCATTCTTTGTTTTGTTATTCTAATTCCGGTGAAGCCATTTTTAGCATCCATTGATATTGCCTGATGGTGGTAGTGCTGATGTTAAAAGTTAATAATGACAACTACGAATATGAAAAAGGTGAGTGGGTTTACCTGTACATTCACTTAATATTCGATGCTTGATTGAATGGAATGAAAATCGGCTCAAAATGGAATACATAGAAGGTAGGGCGGTAGTGGCAAAAATAACCTCAATTTTTTTGTACATTGTTATGCCGGTCTCTTGATGTAAAAATATGAAATTTCAGGTTATTTTGCATAGAAAGGCGGTTAAAATTCAATAAATTCAAATAAATAAATTCAAATAAATCTCAAAATTTTTTCAGGTGCTGTCAGCAAAAGGTTTGCTGTGACGGACGTGGAGTTCGAAAGATATGTAGCAGCCTGGTTCCGCCAATCTGGTCTCAGGTAAGCTAGAGAAAGGGCAAATATGAAATGAAATGGTTTTTTATTATAATTTAATAAGTTTTCATAATATAAAATCCACTAATGCTGCAGTTTTATTTTATTCACCCTGCTTTTTTCTCCATATACCTATATTAATACCAATTGACTACATTACACATGATGTTAATTAGGGTTCACTTTCATTATGAGTAAGTGATTAACTTCTGTGGTAATGTAGTCTTGGTATGAACTAAAAATGGTTTCATATTTGAAATGTTCCATTATCAGCGAAAGTGAGATGTATCGAAAATGTTTCAAAAAAGTCATGTTGGAAATGTTGCAAATAGTGCAATAAGGAAATGTTTCGAAGACACTATTTGTGAAACGTTTCATGAAATGCAATAGTGAAATATCTCAGAGATGTTTATGTATACTCTTTATTGAATGTTTCATGGAGATTTGGGTTGAAACATTCCAATGAAACATTACACACCCTAGGTCATTTATGGTCTCTAGAATGTCTCATAAATGTTTCGGAGTATATAGGTGAAATGTTTCATATTTCACAAAGTTTGTTTCAGGAACGTTTCAGAAACACAAAATGGTTTACTGGGTAACTTTCAATTAACGCTCATCGTGAAGAACCCTGTATACTATTTCGCCATATGCACTAGATTCTTGCTTGAAACTGATACGAGCACTTCAAGTAGACCGACCTTTCGCGATGACATCTAATACAAGACTGACACGATTCACTACCTCGTCCCGAATGACAAATTAGTTGCGTCACCTTCCTATCCTATCAATTCCCGAACAAGTATTCATCTATGACTAATAATAATCATCTTAACTCAAATATTGTGAACTTTTGATGAAATCTAGTTTTTTTGTCTCAACTTATATCTCTGAATCATCATTGGAAATTTCACAAATCACATTTTCGACCAATTAAAAAAGTATGTATTTCATATCGTTACCATAGTAACTAAACAATTTTCCGAGCAATTTTCCAGAAATGTTTTCCTCCTTGGGGCCGGGAAGGAGCATGAAATCACACTGGAAGATTCCTCAGGAATGTACAGGGTGTTTCTTAGGTACGTGTAGAAAATTCAGGAGTATGCGTTGCTGACATCAAAATAAGAAGATAAGTTCGTATTAATATATGTCCGAAAGTTATTCGTTTCTGGGACACAGAGTGTTGAAGTTGAATTTTTATTTTTGTTTTTGATAATAAATTTCAAAATAATTGTGATATTGGGATAAAATTTGGTATCTAGGGGTAATTTTCAATGACAATATCAAATTTTAAGTTAGTTTGTCTCTTTCGTGGGGGTGGCGCCACCTACATGTCTTTTGAGTCCATATTCATGTTGTCAAGATTTCTTCCTCGTTCGTTTCTGATTTGCCTGGCTGGTATTGGAGCCCTGGAGGGTACTATCATCCGCGAAGCTGTGTACTGGTCATGAAGTTGCTTCCAACAAATCGTTTTATGGAGTAGAAATAGTGTTGGTGCTAGAATTGATCCTTGCGGAACACCAGCATTTATGATAAGAGGGTCAGATGAAACTCCGTCGACCACTACATGGAGAGAGACCTGTTTGAGAGGAAACTATATCTAGCAGAGAACATAGCTGGGGAGGCCATATATATGCCATATATGTGAGACGTAAGTGAACATGTTACCAGTTGATCTCTGATGACGGAAGCCATATTGCCTATAGTTGATAATACCTGAATGTTTCAGGTATTTCATGAGCTCGATGTTGATAGCTTTCTCCATGATCTTTGAAATGATAGGTCTGTAGTTGCTAGGTTAGGGTCTCTTTGCCTTTTTTAGGTACTGGTTGAAATTTTCCAGTTGGACGGGAATATCCCCAATTTGTAAGAGTAGTTGACAACTTGCAGAGAACAGGTGTTAGTTCAGGAGCACATTTTTTGAGAACAATCGGTGGGATTCCGTCGGAGCCACAAGCTTTGTTGGTGTTGAGCCCCATTAAAATCTTCCTTATAGTACGTTGGCGAAATGTGATCTCGGGCATATGACTGTCAATTGGCGTTATGTTTGGACGTTTGGAGGTTGTTTTCCCGATGAGTCCAGCGTGAAGTTTCTTACTACAGCTTTGGCGAACCAAATGAATTCATGACATTTTTATTCACTACCATAGAAATTCGAGTATCATATCAATTCATATGTATCATAAAAATTAAATGAATATTTATTCTTCATCATTCATAATATTGAAAGGCCTCTAAATAAGAACCATGAGCCGTATATATGGTAAACTTGATTAGGGCATATAGGTAAGATACAATGGGCCACTAGGCCTAAGCAGTGGCACACTATCAAATGAGGGATCAGCCCCATATATGATGTCCATAAAGGATTTTGACCATCTCGACAAAAAACAAATGGTCTATGATATGCTATGGTCATTTATAGAGACCCTGTATAGGTCGATAATTATCAGTAATGACCACCTAGTCTCTGATCTAGCACAATAATAATTTATTGTTCCTCACACGTGTAAGTTTCAGAACAAAATAAAGATTCTAATGACATTAATCCTTGAGGTTCGAAGGGTCAACTTTTTCTGATAAGCAACATGTGAATAATATTTATTTATAGTAATTTGAAGCATAGTTGTATCCGTGATTGTATTGGAAGAATTAGGTATCGCATGTAACGAACAAATAGTTATGCTTTCAGAGTGACAAGAATAATCAAGTATGCTGGATTTTTTGTTGACATTGTTCTTATTCGGTGTGACAGCTTGCTCGTTGCCGCTTCTCTGTCTTTCAACTGTAGGTGAGTCCACGAAAAAGCATCTGATAGTATCCCCTAGTTCCTACGCAACTGATGCAACTTCGATCAAGTGATGAATTTCTAAGTCAATGAGACACAAGAAAATATCACAGTAATCAGAATCATCAATTATTCGATTTTGATGTTCCATTTTTAGTCCAATCAAATGGTATTTTCACTTAGAAAATATTCAAGTAGTCGATTTCTCTGTGGTTCCATATGTTTTTGGAGGTGCTGAATTCTAATCTGAATTTTGTAAACAAAATTTCCTGGAGCGTTCCGTGATATTCGCAAAAAAACAGCAAAATTTTCGGACTCTTCGGTTTTTTGCCCGTAACTCGGAAATTATACGTTATATGGAAAAGATCGCCTCATAGAAAGTTGAAGTGAATAAAATATCTGAATATAATATTGTTATTGCTCATGAATGTAGGACTAACGAGTGCGGAGATAGAGCCAGTTGAAAATTGACCAAATTTGCGTACTTTAAAAAAAATAGCGTTTTTCGTTGGTTTTCGCAGATAATTCCAAACATAGATTTCCAAATCTACGAAGTCCTCGAAGAAACGAACTATACTGTCTGATGTGGAAGAGCCTAGCCATGATTGTGAATTCTTACCTCTGTCAGCATGTGATCAGCATGTAACTCATGACTCTTGACTTGTCACTGTACTCACATCAATCAACTAGGAAGAATATTATTTTTCTTACCTGCCATTTGTTATTCGTTAACGGAGTAGCAAAATCAAGTTTTCTAGCAACGATTATCAGAAATGTCAGACATTTGAAAAAAATATAGTTAAAAGAGTTTCTTTCACTGTATTTTAGATTATAGGATCACCCTCATCTGATTAATTGCTCTCTACAGGGTGATTCAGGTTTTGAGGCTTAAACTGGAATGAGAGATAGATCTCATCATTTTGATCAAAAACGTTTGTATAAACATTAATCCGATCTCGTTTAGTAGCGGAGCTACAGGGGGTCAAAAATTTTTTTTCTATCAATTGAAACATCTCGCTTACTTTTCAAGATATTATTTTGAAATTTGGTGTGGTCAATACTTCCTAGAAGATCATCATTTCAAGCTATTTGGAGATTTTCAAAATCTACAGGGTGATACGTTTTTGGGGGTAGGGGCTTCTTTATCCCCCCCAAACTTTTTGGCATTACGCCTCTGGCATTTTTCAGTTATCAAATCGTGTGGATCGTTCAATTTAGAGGCTTTTTTGCATTTCAATTTTTCTCGAGAAACGAAACGTTTTTGAGATAAATAAGCATACGTTCTAAAACATGTTAATTTTGCCTGTTTCTCTTAAACTTCATTATTTGACAAAATTCGTTGAAAATGCAATGAAATGCACTCACTAAAATTGCACTCACGAGTCCAATTTGGATCAGTAACGGGGATACGGAGGGTAGAAAGTCAAGGTTTTTTTTTCAGTTAACTAAAATTTAAGCGAAACATAGGCAAACTCAATATGATTTAGAACGTATATGCTAATTTATCTCAGAAACGGTTCGTTTCTCGAAAAAAGTTGAGGAGCAATCAAAGCCTCTGAAATGAACGATCCACACAATCTGATCACTAAAAGATGCCAGAGGCGTACTACGAGAAAGTTTTGGGGGGATGAAGAAGCCTCTACCCCCAAAAACGTATCAGCCTCTGAATTTTGAAAATCTTTAAATGGCTTGAAATGATGATCTTCTAGGAAGTATTGGCCACACCAAATTTCAAAATGATATCTTAAGAAGCAAGCAAGATATTTCAATTAATAGAAAAAAATAATTAAACTTTGACCATCTGTAGCTCCGCTACTGAACGAGATCCGACTGAGGTTTGTATAAATTTTTTTGACTAAAATGATGAGATCTATCTCCCATTTTAGTTTGTGCCTCAAAACCTGAATCAACCTGTATAACCCAGGCGTTATCTAGACCTGTTCTTGGGTAGTCAGCCTTTGGCAGACTGGTACATTACATGAACAAAGGTGCGCCGCGGTTTAGTGTCAGTCTCCTCTAGACTCATTTGTTTTTAGTAATAGCTCAAAGAGTAGTGCTTTGCGGTGTTTGCTGAGACTCATTAGCTTACGAATTGTTGAAGAACTCTTTCCTTCTCCTTCACCTGGAGTTGCTCAACAGTAGTAGGATTTTTCACTTCATTCTCATTTTCTGAGCTCTGTATGATAAGGTGGCATTTGCTTGTCTCACAGAAAGATAAAATGTGAGCTCTGCACTTTTTTGCTAGGCGATCAGCTGCCTCATTCCCTTGACGCCTTGAAACCCACATGAGCGAGAATTGATTCTAATACGTATTCATCAGAAAATAGGTAATTTTGATAGTTTGAATAGTTTATCAGTTTTTTTATCAAAACGTTCAAAGAATACCCTATAACATTTCGAATTATTGTATCGCAATTATAACAACTATAATTCCAGCGTACAGAATTTCAATTTTTTTTTGTCCCCCACCCACAGGATACAAATACAATGCAATTACATTATCATACGTTTTAGAGCTTTAATGAATATATTCAAACTGTGTACTTTGTAATATTCAGAATATTAACAAACGAAGGCTATAGTACACAGTCTTTATTTCAAGCAAATTCTCAAACGTTTTCATCTACAAGCCATCATCAGAGGAGTAATTTCTGAAAGTGAGTGAAGATTAGAAAACCTGAATTGAAGTTATGTAATAGAGGTTAATAAATTTGATAAATTTTAGAACTTCATTATCTCGAAAACGAAGCAAGTTAGGACACATGTTCATATGAACTTTATTTCCTAAAATATCCCACGGAATCACACCTTGAATTTTTTCGGCGTTAGATACACCCTGTATATGGGTGGTATACCCGAATCGAGACCCGAACCGTTGAGTTGTCCCAAAGGTCAGCAGACCGACAGCGGCTGATGATGCCTAGTGGTCCGAAACAGTAGATTGCTGACAAATCATCTTAAAGATCTCTTAGTCATGAGATCTGTAGTTCTTTGACGTCGATATGTTTGTTATTTCAGTGTTACTCATCAGCAGATCAGTATGGCTGAGCTGTATATCCCTGCTACATCCAGATGTCGAGTTCGTGAGATACGCTACCATCAGGACATTATTGGACACTCACAGGAACCAAGGAATAATATCAGTTATACTATCTGTCAAGGGACAAGCAGAACCCGAAGCTGTTAGACGACATCTACAGGTAAAAACTGAATTTGAATAGAAATAAAACCATTTTCGGATGCAATAAAAATAGTTATTCATTATACAAGGGAAAAATGTAGTAGACTTCAGCTCTAGGTTGTGTTGCCAAAAAACCGTGAGCTAAAATCTAATATTTTTCCCGTGTATAAAACACTATCTTTTTTCTGTGACAGAAGAAAGGACGAATCAATATTGAGAAGATATTACATTATTTTGAAATCTGAAAATTATCGACGTGAAATTTTGAGTTTTTAACAGTAGGGACACCTGCGTTGTAGGCATCTTTATCATTCTTTTGAAGTAATCAAATATCTGATGTCACTTCTGTCAGTCTAATTCTGTGATTTGATTTCAAAAATTGCGAATTTAGTGCTTGTTTAGTAATATACGTAACCGCGAAGTCGAATGGAAGATAAAAGGACTTGCAGTTCTTTCTCGGAGACGGTATTATTGACTCATTTTTCGGAACTATAGGTCAACAAAAGCCATCAAAAGTGTATATGTATGTGTCCTTTCCCACGGAAAAAAAGTAATTTATGAAAAGTTACATTTTATAACCTACCAACAGAGATGAAATGCCAAACTTTTTTCCCGTCACAGAAAAAAACAATTTGATGCTACACCTATTCCAGTTGATTTTTATGAAAGGTTGAATGTATTTCATAATAGTCACTTGTATTTCAGGAAGCATCAATCGTGTTTCAGAATCATCACTTATATTTCAGAAAGCGTCAATTGTATTTCAGAATTGTCACTTGTATTTCAGAAAGCGTAAATAGTATTTCAGAATAATCAGTTGTATTTCATAATAGTCACTTGTATCACAGAAAGCATGCATTAATTGTATTCCAGAATAGTCAATTGAATTACAGAAAGCATCAATTGAATTACAGAAAGCATCAATTGTATTTGAGAATAGTCAATTGAATTTCAGAAAGCATCAAAACTGTTATTTCAGAATCATCATCTCGTGCTCGTAAAATGCTATGCTTTTCCCTTCGTTCTGTCAAAGGCCTATCTGTTAATGCTGTTAAAATTATTTATTGTGCACAGGCGAGGTCTATTAATGAATATAATTCTTTGATCTGGTCACCATTTTACAAAGTTAATTCTGATCTCTCAGAGGATTGTCAAAATACATTTTTAAGAAGTTGTGCATATCACATAGATAGATATTTTTTTCTGTGACGGGAAAAAAGTTTGGCATTTCATCTCTGTTGGTAGGTTATGAAATGTCACTTTTCATAAATTACTTCTTTCCGAAAAATGAGTCAATAATACCGTCTCCGGTTACGTATATTACTAAACAACCACTGAATTTGCAATGTTTAAAAATCAAATCACAGATTTAGACTGACAGAAGTGACAGTGAAAATTTCACGTCGATAATAAATTCTCAGATTTCAAAATAATGTAATATTTTCTCAATATTGATTCGTCCTTTCTTCTGTCATAAAAAAATAGTGTATTATACACGGGAAAAATATTAGATTTTAGCCACTTTTAGCTCACGGTTTTTGGACAACACAACCTGGAGCTACAATCTACTACTTTTTTCCCTTGTATAATAAATAACTATCAAACATGAATACTTTTATACATGGAAGAATGGAAATTGATCTATTATTCCTCCATAAAATTATCAATGGCTACATTGATTCTCCTGAAATTGTTGCTCTGACTACGCTTTCCGCAAATACTAGAAGAAACAGAAAAAGTGACATTTTTAAGATATCATTCTGTAGGACAAATTATGGCCAAAATAAATCCATTAATAGAAATATGTAAACAGCAAATATACATACAATTACCAAATTGATCTGTTCAATTCATCTTTATGTTCTTTCAGGAAAGCGATAAAAAACTCTGTCAATAACTCATTTCTTGATCCTTATTTTTTTTATTCGTTTTAGCCTTCTACATTTTTTTTTGGGTTGGTCTTCTTCATAGATTTAATAATATGTACGTGTCCTGTATTTTTATACTTTCTTTTTGTAAATTGCATAATTGGCTTGTCCGTTGATGAATAAATTGATAAATTACTTCGAGCATTCCTTCCTCCTTTTGATTAAAATTGGTGCTAACTTCCGGCACATCCTTTATAGCTGGAGGACTAAAATACTATATTAACGCATTTTAATCAACATCAGGAACCTAAACTCTTTTGTTGGATTTACATGCATTGAAATGTTAGATTGAAGAATGAAAACGTTTCAGGAAGTGGTACGACGTAGAGATAAAGCTGGCAATCTATCTTTCCCTAGGTTGCGCCACTGTCTGGTCACTAGATGCGGGACTTATGCTTGGCAAAATACAGGCACCTTTGATCTCGACCAGAACTTGACTGTGGCTCCGTTCACGTACAAAGGTAGAGCTGTCACAGAACTCAATATCCAGGTATGGAAGCTATCTATCAAATTAATGGAGTAATGCGGGGTGGTCTGAATTTTTATACATTAACTATAGCGTGTACACCTTAGTAGAACTTTTAACTCAAACCATGTTTATAATGATCCTTTCATACATAAATAATGATTGACGACATAATTCGATCGAAAAATTAACTGGACTGTTCTATTTTTGGACATAAATAATAGAACCTTCTGAAAATGGGCCCTCTTATGACGTAGAAACCTCATCTCGTCATAGTTAAATGAAAATACCAAACGCCCGACGGAGACTGAGGCAACTGATATATTAATTCTTTCAACTGTGATCTCGCGCTAATTCATTCTGTCAGAAATCATGTATCATTCATCTCTGTCTGGAATAGTCTTGTTTCAGTATTAGGGTTTTGACGTCACATCATCGCCTCGTTTTCAGAGGTCCGAAAAATCGGGGATTTCAATAATTTTTTATAAAACGTAGGGAGCTCACAGCAAGAAACGGTTTGCGGTGGTGAGCTAATTTGTTCTATCGAATTATGAAATAATTTTTTTGTGATATAAGCCCATTATTATATTTCCAAATTATTTTTAGTTTGGCTATCCATGAAAATATGTTTCTTTAGTTTTTCAAACAACTATTTATCACAAAGCTCGTTCGCCGTATATTGGATCGGATATCTTGAATTTAATCATTTTGACTACAAAATCATAATCTCCGATACGAAGATCTCTAGGTACCAATTTTAAATTGAATCGGATTATTATTATTACAAAACTCTACTGCATCATAGAATCATCGTCATCATGGGTTACAGAATTTTCATGAAGGAATCATATAATCTCTGGTTCCGAACACCCTCAGATACCAACTTTGAATAGAATCGGTCCATAAATACAAGACTCGTCCACCATATTGGATCGGCCATCTTACAGAACTCGTCAGGTATATATTGGATCCGCCATTTCGAATTTCCAAATCGTGGCGAAATAATCCTAATATCCGACCCTGAAAAACCCTCAGATACCAATCTTGAATAAAATCGGATCATAATTACAGAACTTATCCGTCATATTGGATCCGCCATCTTGAATTTCCCAATTATGACGAAAGTATCATAATCTCCGACTTCGTAAACTCTCAGATATCGATTTTCAATAGAATTGGAACATAATTCTAAAACTCGTCCGGCATATTGGATCCGCCATTTTGAATTCCCAAATTTCGACGAGATAATCATTCATAATCTCCGATCCCGAAAACTTCCAGACAATTTTGAATAGAATCGGATCATAGTTACAAAACTCGTCCGCCATATGGGCTCCGCCATCTTGAATTTCGTAATTTCGACGAAGGAGTCGTGATCTCCGACCCCAAAAATTCACAGGTACCAACTTAGAATAGAATCGGATCATAATTACAAAACTCGTCCGCCATATTGCATACGCCATCTTTAATTTTCAAATTAAAAAATAAATAGCTGACAACCGATTCTCAGACCTACCAAATATGCACAAAAATATTCATAAGGATCAGTCAGGCCGTTACGGAGGAGTTTAGCAACAAGCACCGTCGCATCAGAATTTTATATACAGGGTGAGATATTGAAAACTACCCACCCTCAATATCTTCCTTTCAGTAAATAATATGAACAATCGATAAGACACGCCATTTTTTTTTTAATGGGGACACTTTAAATGCAAATTTTTAGCCCTCTTCATCTCGAAATTTTGAAATGTATCTCGAAAAATTTGACTTTCACCCTGAAATCTCGACTTACATTTCGAAATCTCGACTTTTAACCCGAAATTCTTACTTTTACCTAGGAATTTCAACCTTCATATCGAAATTTCGACGGACTGGAATCCATTGCCTGAGGAAGTATTTCCAAGAACTCATGGTCACCAGAAGTGAAAAAAACTTCAACACCTACCTTCCTTCCCTTTCTTCCCCAGGTACGCACGATGTTCTTCGAACATTATTGGGATTTCCTTTCGTACGCTCCAAGCGATTACAAAAATATATATGAGTTTCTTGACTTATTCGATAAATTTTCCTCAATGAATGGAACACCCAGTATTTTTTGAATTAAGCCAATGAAATATCAAATTGTGAGTACGCGATGACACCCCTTTCGATTTTTTGATATAGTTTATCCTAGAATTTTTACTAATTGATTTCCAATCTAGAGTGCCATGAATAAGTTGAAACGTTTGATTTTCAATCATTTTGCCAGGATAACATAGGTTTGATGAAGTTGCACTTTCCATTTCTTTTAAAGTTGTTTACTTACATTTTTCATAATCGTTATTAGGTCATTTTTCTTGATTCTTTGGGATTTTCTCCTCGTTTTTAAAAAATAAAAATATTCGTATTATTTCAATATATTTGTATTTTGGGGCAAATCATCTGATTTGTCCCGAAATGTCACTGCGTTCAACAAATTTTTCTATCAGATAGTCTAAAAGAAAAATTCATCAGCTTGTCAGTTTGTTTGAAAAAGTTTTTGAAGGAAAGAAATATAGATATATTGAAAAAATATCGAATTTTTACTTATCTTTGTACGTTTCGGGACCGAATCTGCTCCCGTTCTCAACATATCTAGAAGGGGCATTTTAATTATGGACTGTTTAATGTGTTGGTATCAAATTTTGTTACGAATAATTTTATACCATACATCAAACTAGGAAAATAGTGATCAATTTCAAATTTGAGAAATTTCCCTTATTTTGCGAGTTATCAACATCATTTCTGAAAATAAGTATATACAGTTGTTGTCAGAAAAATCAAAAATAAATCTGTCAAGTTTTTCTGAATAAGAAAGTCTTATTGAAACTATTCTCTGGTATATCTGTTCAGTTCAAATACTGAAATTATATCCACTGTATAACAGGTTATGGACCCAGTATAGTCATACAGCACTGAATATTAAAATGTTGAGGGCTTCTGGAGGACAGGAAAGATGTGTATAATCTGTATAACAGTGTAATTCTTGATTCTTAGTTTAAAAATTCATCACCCTGTATCTCGGAATCGGAGCAATTTCGGAAAAAGGTGAGTTGCCTCAAATCGGCTTATTTTGAACTCAGACTGTATGCTAAGATTTTCTAGACCGTTCCGGGGACACCCTGTATAACTGACCTATTAAATCGATCAACGTTTATCTGATCGTAGATTCAGAATCAATAAAAAAATCGTTTAGAAACTTGTTGAAAACGGACTGAACAAAATTTTTTGTGAATTATATTTACTTATAAGGTACTAATGAATTTGAATTCTTTTTTCTAGGAATACGTAAGTGAAATCGTTTCCAAATACCTGCCAGGAAATGTACCCCCATGGCAAATGATAATAATACCGACAGCAGAGGACCAGCACTACATCCTCCTCAAGTTGCATCATCTGCTTCTATCTGAAGGAATAAACATTGGCGACCTTCTTCCTCTGATCCCACCAACAAGACAGTCAACAGGGTATTATTACAACCATAGATAAATATTGAGCTTCAAACTTTTGAATTTCTATCGTTGTTCACAGGTCGCAAGTCACTAGGAGTCCATTGGTAGAAGTCTTCAAGAAACCAAAAGGCATACCCATTCTCAAAGAACGCTTAGCAGAAGAACTGTCCAATAGGTGGAACGAGTTCGTAGCTAACTCTGATCCATTAGAAAGACCGGAGTTACTGAAAATCTCCCCTACTTTCCTTCAGTACATATCAATAGCATTGATAACCCTAGTTTCTTTGACCAAACACATTAAGAAAGGATTCAGAGTTATAGAAAATGATGCATTCTCTAGAGCTAAGTACGTGTGCATGTCCATCATCAACGAAACGGAGAAGAGACAGCTGACGCTGAAGAATCTGGTTCTATCAATACTAACCTCGCTAGATCCCAGAAACATAGCTAAAACAGTCATCCGGATAGTTTTGAATGTTTGCTTGGTAGTACCAGTGAAGATCCCTGTCGCCTTATTCTCCGAATTCAGAGCCTTCTACACCTGTTTAACCCTGAAATATTGTCCCTATCCACACACTTGCATCGGCATACTGTACACTTACGTACCTTTGATATACAAATCAGCGAAAGAAGTGATCTACATAATGACAATATTGTTCATGGCCCCTAAAACCATCGTCCAGGATATCCTTCTGAAAGACGAATCCCTTGAAACGGTGACGCTGTGTGGCAGGAAATCAGTAGCTTGGTCTGAGCCGATCAGAATCGACACCATCAAGAAGCTAGCCAACCGCATAGGCGTGTCCGAAACCGAGATAATGCTATCGGCAGTGTCCAAGGGCCTCTACAAGTACTTCACCCAAACAGACAAAAAGGTCCCTAAAGAGCTGCCCATAACCATCAGAAACATCTCCTCCAATTACATATTTGCCATTGGTTTGAACATCAAACCTGAAGACGCAGTAAGTGGTATATTATGCTTGAATTTGTCCATCGCTAATCCAATGCAGACCACCAACTTGGAGAACCTTGAGGAGATCAGGAAGCAGTTCAGCAATTCTTTGGAGAAGCAAGGTTTGTCCCACTTGCTGACCATGTTGCAGACTAAGTTCGGTATCCTGACGAACTTTTTGCCTTCCACTGTGCTGAGCGTCTACTTGAAGTACTTGTCGAGGAAGTATGCTGTGGGGGTGGCTGAAATAACTAGCCGGTATCCGAAGGTCACGCAGAGGTCGCTGTGGGGGCAGGAGGTGTCCAGCGTCATCTATTTGAGGCCTCCTCAAGCGAATACCAGTGAGTTCGTTTATTTCACTACTGGCGAGCGCAAGGTAGTACTTTTCCGTATGCGTTAGCGCACGCAAAAGTACATTTTTTCGCATACCTTGCGGAATTTCTCAACAATAGTATATTGTTTAACGAGCACAGAATGATAGTGATTTCTAACAAGAATGAAGTTTGCAGCATGAGACATAGGCGAATGCTGCAATCATTCGAGTATGAAATTAGCAATCCGTGCAAGTTATACACTATAATTTTTCTACGGCTATAATAGATAACAGCGGCATTTTCGATTTCTTCGTCTTGTAACCATCTGATATCCTGTCAAGTAATGCTCATCAATTGAACAGAGCTGTCATTGCTTGAAATTTGACATTCTATCCCTAATAGCACACAACGTCCAAGGGACGTCCCTATTTGGTACAAATCACGTCCGAATGTCCCGGACCAAAAATAAGTGTCCTTGGGACGTTCCATCCCGTACATCTCATGCAATGTCCGAGCAAGGACGTCCACGGAATGTCCCAGCTGGTACATCATTTCAAATGTCCTAGAAATAGCATCCTCTAGACGTCCCACGTGGTACATATTGTAGAATGTCCATGCAAAGACGTCCTTGGCATGTCTCTGATGGGATATCATTTTAAACGTTCCTTTAGGGACATCCATCGGATGTCCCGAGTAGTACATATTCTGGCATGACTTCAGATCTTATATAATGTCCCTTCTAGACAACCATGAAATGTCCCTGATGGTACATTCCTTCAACTATCTCTGCACAGACGCCCTTAATATTTTCAGGATCGAATAACAATCGTAATGTCCCTTAGGGATATCGGTCGGATGTCCCAATTGGTACATGAACTGTACTCTTCGAATGTCCTAGAAATAACGTCCTATGGACGTCCCAGTCGGTACTTTCAATATGTTGTCCCTGCGAGGACGTTAACTTACACCTCGCCGACGAATGATCGCTCGTAGGCTATAAAGTACTCCTCGTCAATGTCCTTCACGTAAGTCCATTGGACATCCTTTGGAAACTTTTTGGACACCTTCTACGGACCATCAACTCAACTGGATGTCCTCATCAGTTATGCAAGATCTGGTCCTAGAGGGACCCAGAAAAATTCAAATTCAAGGATAATTCGTACGTCCCTGGGACATCCTATGGAAATCCAATTAATATCCCTCAGCTTTGCTGATAGTTTCGATAGTTGTCCCAGGGACATCCCTCAAGGACATCCCTAGTTGGTCCTCAAGTGGGACATTTGTGCGTCCCTCAGACGTATAACGGACGTCCACGGTACCAAATTCGAACGTCTTATGGACGTCCTGAATGTCCCGACAGGACGTCCTAAGGATATCCATGGGACATAAGTGTGTTATTAGGGATGGGCGATGAGTTTTTTTTTTAAATAATAACACAATTGTCATTGTAATGGGATACGGAAATAAAATTGATACATACAAAGTACCTCATTGATGTATCGAACACAGTAAAACAAGAGCAATATCGTAATATCGCCGTCGGAATGATAGTCATATCCACGAGAATGAAAAATGCTGATGCAATCATTCGAGTGGGAATCACCATTCCGTGCGAGTTATATTCTATACTTTTTCTACGACTGTAACAGATAATAGAGGCATTTTTAAATTTTCCAACTACTATATCCAGTCTCGATGTCTCCATCAGCAATACAATCTTTCGTGGTATAATCATGTCAGATCTATCGCGAAAGCTGCTTCACAAAACTCAGATTTTCATTATTTATTTCGTATGACGTAATATGTGTTTCAAGAAGCATATTACGCACGAATGGAAAAATTCCATTTCACAAATTCCATCCACATCCACCTTTGCCTAGATATAATGTTATGACATGTGTTACTTCTCATCAATTACCTGAGAAAATAGTATATTATTAAACGAGCGGTAATGTAGGTCATAACTCACGCAGATGATATACTTTATCTACGACTATTACAATAGATCCTAAGTTACAAGTACAGAGAAAGAACTTTATTGACAAATCTTGATATACTTAATACAAATTTTAGATTTAATCACTCGCATATTGTTTATTGAAAAAATTAACTGTGAAGTTAACAGTAAACTGAATATGTTGGAACTGAATTATGGAAGTTTATTGTTTCTTTTTGTGTTTGTTGCATATATGTTGTTGATGTAGTAACTGATTGAGCTGTAATAGAACTGTATATTTTATTTGCAGTATCTGTCTTATTCTTTTCGGAATCATCAACGTACCCCTCAGCCACAGTAGTTGAACGCCAACCGCCATGGCGTTTCAGTGTCGTACGGCATCTATTAATAAAGTTGCCGACGAGCGGCGAAAACAATGCCCTGTATATAAATTACAGTCTGGTAATTTCAGAAATGTGGCAATGTCTTTCCCCATTGCTCAAAATTTATCAATGCCATTCTTTGTGAGTGATATTTTCCATATGGAAATTCAAATGATAATCCATCTTCACTATCTGAATTCATCAAAAAAATCACAATAATTGTATCAGCCTAGTTTGAAAACGTCAAAATTATTCAATTGACATCACTCCCCTCAATAACAATAATGGACTGTTCCCTTTCGGCCAACTGGCTTGTACAAAAGTACTGAGCCATCTTGATTTTCGGTTCGTAAATAATTCCAAGAGCCTTTCTCGATGTAAGTATTATAGTGAGTTATAGTAGCGAGAGTTATTATAACTCACGCTGTTTGTTTATAGATACTATTAATTGTACAAAGGCAGTTGAATAATTGATATATAATTTAATAGGAGTAGATAAATGTTGTTTTTCTTAGGTTCTGTCGTTGAATGAAATATTCAAGTTGGTTTTTGAATGCCGCATTTTTAAAAACTACCCCACAAAGATGGTATCATAAGAAGAGGATATATTGCTTATTTAATACAGATTCCGAAATGGTATAACATATGGAATTATTCAAAACAGCCTTTTGTTATTAATTTGTTTTCAAATGTGAGTCGCGTTTTTCAGAAAAATCGAATAACTTGAACCATCAACAATTTGATAACCAGTTTGATTGCAAATTACCCCCCTTACCACCCACTTCTTCTAATCCATGACTTATGGGACACCGTGTAGATTCACCATCGTTATGTTTTTGGATCTAAGATGAAAATATGTGTGGTTTTCATTGCGAAATTATCATTTTTCGAATTTTGGCGAAAGACATATACAACTTTGGATCTAGGACAAAAATATGTAGCCGTAGAGAAAGTATAGTGTATAAATCACACGGAATGCCGATTTTTCAATGACTATCATTCAGTGCTCATTAGACAATATATATACCTATTATTTATTGTGTGTTCCAGGTATATCATTGTGTCTGAATGAATACGCCGAGCATGTGAAACTAGGAGTGATGTGTGACTCTCAGCTGGTGCCCCATCACATTCTCCTGGTCAGGGGATTCCCAGAACATATTCAGGATTTGAAAAAAATATCACTGGAATGATGGGCAGGCATTCCATCGGCATTATTTTATGTATTTTCTTGAAATATGCCAATAAAATCGGTTTCAGCGGGATTATTTTTATCGATTAGCTGCCTCTGAATAGACAGAAAGTTCAAACGCCACACAGGAAATATACAGAGAGTTTCCCAGAAGCATTTTCCGTTTCCTAAATAAGTATAGCTACACGGAGCGCTAATGTCATAGGATACTTAATAGTATATTACGTAATATGTGATGTATAAGAAGCATACAGGGTGTCCGGAAATTATGCGCAAAAAATCAAGGAAGTGATTCTGCATGAGAAAACATGTAATTTATTTAATATATAGGTACTTGAGTCCGGAAATGCATAGTTTTCAAGATACAGTGTGTTAAACTTTTTAGAAAAAATCGTTTATTTATGAATATCTTGAATATTCTTTCACCAATTCTCTTGAAATTTGGTTATGATATTCTTTGTGCAAAACATTGCTCCACAAACAAGGGTGATATTAAATGTGTTATCCATGTCCATGGACGTAGAATAAGAATTGGGATTCATTTTCTCTGAATATTTTATAATACATGTTTGACACACTTTGTATTATCGAAAAATACGCCTTCCTGGACCGAGAAATCATAATTCTCAATATACAAAGTGTAGAGTGTGTCAAACATGTATCAAGGAATATTTAAAGAAAATGAATCCTTCCTTATTCTATATCTATGGACATTGATTACGCATTCATTTTCACCTCATTTTTGAAGGAATTCCTTGGCACAAATTTATGCATTAAATTGGTAATTATTTTTTTCCATGCAAATCAAGCAAATCATCAAGATAATTCAAGTGACCAAAATGTTGTATCTTCAGTTGGTCAATGGCACACATTGTATTGACAATAATATTCGGTAGGTTGCATCCCGGGACGCCACTGGATTTTATAATTCCAATTGAATCATAGCTATATCAGCTCCTCATGACAAAAGGATATCATTGCCAAATTTCGAGAAAATTGGTAGAAGAATATTCGAGATATTCATAAAAAACCGATCTTGTTCAAAAGTTTTAACACACTGTATGTTGAAAGCTATGCATTTCCGGGCCCACGTACATATGAGAATGATTTGTTATTTCATCATGTACAATCACCTTCTTGATTTTTTGCGCATAATTTCCGGACACCCTGTATATGTTACGCACGAATGGAAAAAAAATTCGCACGTAGCAGCGGAGCGGCGAGTACGTAATTGCTTTGCAACACGCATTACGTTTTATATTTTCTCTACTGCCATATATTACATCAAAAAAGTTTGGACAAACAGTCTGAATTATAATTCGTATACTTGCGGAATGAACGAAACCTGTGCGATGTGCTTACTGTGCGTAAAGAGCTACTTACTGAGGCTGTATCTCGTGTGTTCTTGCCTACTTTTTATAGTGGCCGTAGGTGAAATATTGAACCCTAACCAATTGACGCACATTTTGAGAACAATGTGCATCACGATGAGCACCATTGACAACTGCACATTTTCAGAACAATGTGCATCACGATAAGCACCATTGACAACTGCACATTTTCAAATTTTCCAAATATTGGATGTTTGAAGTCAAACAAAGTACACGTGCAATTTTCTATTGATTGTGGAAACAATAAGTGATAAGTGCGAAAGTTACTGCATGGAGAGTAATATATGGACACGGAAGTCACAATGGTCTGATTGTTTCTGCACAACATAAATAGCATTCGCATAATGAAGAATTTCGTTACACAAAGATGTTAAACGTTCGATCAGTCAGGATCAATCACTCACTCACTGAAAGAGTTTTACAAACAGTAATGTAGGTATCTCACAAGCAAATGGTCATGGGTTTAAGTTTGATCTTCATTTCAAAAAAATCCTTCCATGAGGCTTACTCCTTGAAGTGACTTAAAAAACAGATACCTACCTTTTAGGGTCATTTCATCCCAAGATGACGATCTGGTGTACAGGGTGATTCTACATGATTAAATAAGAAATTCATTTTATATGTACGTGGGTCCGGAAATACATAGTTTTCAACATACAGTGTGTTCAAACTTTTGAAAAAGATCGATTTTTTATGAATATCTCAAATGTCCTTTCAACATTCTTCTTGAAATTTGGCAATGATATTGTTTGTCATGAGGGGCTGATATAGCCATGATTCAATTGAAATAATGAAATCCAGTGGCGTCCCGGGGAGGCAACCTACCGAATATTATTGTCAATTAAATGTGCGCTACTGATTTATTTGAAATCTGTATCTTCATAACCTATTGACCAACTAAGAATACAAAATGTTGGTTTCCTGAATTGTTTTAATAATTTGCTTCATTTCCATGGAAAAAAATGAATACTAATTTATTGTATAAATTTGTGCCAAAAAAAACCTTCAAAAACTGGGTTGAAAATAAATGTGTGATCAATGTCCATAGACATAGAATAAGTATGAAGATTCATTTTCTTCAAATATTTCTTGATACATGTTTTACATGTAGCGTATTTCGATAAAACAAAGTGTGTCAAACATGTATTATGAAATATTTGAAGAAAATGAATCTTCATTCTTATTCTACGTCTATGGACATGGATCACATATTTCATTTCACCCCTGTTTTTGACGCAATGTTTTGGACAAATTTATACAATGAATTGGTTTTTTTTTTCACGGAAAGGCAGCAAAATAGCAAAATTGCAAAACAATTCAGGAGACCAAAATGTTGTATTTATAGTTAATCATTAGGATATGAAGATATAGAATTTTGAAAAATCAGTGGCGCATATTTTATTGACAATAATATTCGGTAGGGTGCCCCCGGGACGCCACTGGATTTCACAATTCCAATTTAATTATGGCTGAATCACCCCCTCATGAAATAGAATATCATTGCCAAATTTCGAGAGAATTGGTGGTGCAGAATCACATCCTTGATTTTTTGCGCATAATTTCTGGACACCCTGTATACTGTTGATATATTTATACCTATATGTACATTATCCAGAATATTTTATTCTTGCTCTTCTTATTGTTCCTATTTTCAGATCATCTTATATCTATTGCAACAAAACTGAGAACATAATAATGTAAGTAACCCCAGCAAACATGATTTTTGCGGCCCTCTAAAGGTACAATGAAACTTGCCGGCGAGCGGTAACAGCGGTCCTCTATTGTACAACTAAATTGGGCCGGCTAGCCCGTGTCCCGGCGGCCGACAGCCGACCGCCTCTCTAGAGCCATCAGTATGCCGCTTATTACATTGCAGGCCATCTGGTGGGCAGAAGCAAGTACTCAAATGTACTGCATTCATGGCATATCTTCGGCCCGATGGAGACTTTTCAGAGACTGCCATTAATTGGCCGCTTTAGTATTTTTATTCCCCCGATAGAGGAGTTTTTCAGGGCCGTTGGTTTACGAGGTTGAATGAATTCAATATTCATGGTATTCTGTTTCTTGATGTTTCATTTTTCAACTAGGTTTGTCAAAAAATATACAGGGTGATGCATATATCTCAGTGAAAATAGGTTTTTTGATCGGTATCCCAGTTTATGTCACCACTTGGAAAGCAACATATCTTATTTTCACTCAGATTTGCATCACTCTCTTCATTTTCAAACTGGTTAAAAAAGTGGAACTTCAATAAACAGAATTGAGGTCTCAGAGTTTTTTGTGAATCCTCTGGGTAATACAGAAATGTGGAAATCACTCCTTACCTGAAGTTCTTGAATAATAACATAAAATCTCTGAGATGGCATCCTGATGATATCACAGTTATTTCCAGGAACTGGCAGTATAAATACCCCATACAAAAACAAGAACTGAAAATATTCATGTGTGTATATTACTGCCATGATCACAATCAATACATATCATAACTATGGAAACATCAAACATCTTAATTCTAGTTCTACATATCACTCTGTATACTCATCATGAAAAGGTACCTACAATTCCCAATAATATGTATTTGTGTTTCATCATGCAGGATAGATATTTGTTTTTCCACTTGTTTCAAAAAGTTGCTAACTCTAGGTCAAAAATTACATCACCTATATGTACCTACCAAATAACTTGAAAGTTTTGTAGGTAATCAGTTATTATATTGATCAAGTTATTGTCAACAATAGAGTTCAATCCACAAGAAAACAATTCCCAGATATGAAGAACCTTACTCTTCATCATATTGATATGAGTGTTGCCTGGAAGTGAGATATCATATACCATGAAGAAATTTATATCATAGTCTGGATCATTGTGTGATTTCTTCATTAATATCTGTGATTGATGGGCTTCTGGTTGTTGATTTTGTAGCTGAGATATTGAATGATTTCATTCTCTACTAATCCAAAACAAGCAACATACAGTAATTCTTGAAATATAACTGTTTCTTCAAGTAGGTACTCTTTGATTTTCGTTTGGAAAATAGATTTATGATTCATATGTGATGAAAGCTCATGCATCTTCGAAGTCCTCATATATTATTATATTCTTTTGTATCCGCTGAACATGTCCAAACTATCATTGCTTTTGTTTGTCGTCCAATGGTGTTTGTAAAATTATTGTCTGAAATTGGCGAATTATTTAGCTGTGCAAGTCTGTATATATGTTTTTTCCTTACTCACTCTGTATTTATTCCAATGCCCTTTCATTTTGTATAAAAATCCACTTGAAAACCAAACACGAACTGAACACAGTACTAAAATCTCTGTTGAGAGTGTTGAAACGACATAAACAAAGAAATTAATATACGCCATACTGAATCATTGTTACCACTGCAAAATGATCAAAATAAAAACCACGCGAGCGAGGGATGCCAACGTTGAGTTAGTGATGATGGCACACTCCGTTGAAATTTTGATGGCCCTTGGACTTGGATACATACAGCGAAAGACTAGCGGCTGGGAAACAGAGGCCCATCATAACTATGTGTACATTCTGCCTTCGTCACATAATCCTTCGAAATTATATGGAGGGCCTTTCGAGGCATGCCGACATCGACATTTGCCCGCCGTTCTCGCCATGGGCCCGGCTTTCTACCGCCTGTCGATGTTTGCTGGGACTGAACAATTTTACCGTACCA